AGAACATTATTAGAAAATAACAATAAATGCTAATAAGAAAATGTTAGATATATAAATTGGATTTAAGACGGAAAGAAGTCATGTCAAGAGACTGAGTCATGATTCCAAGAAACTGCTTTTTTTTTTTTTTTTTTGAAAATAGGTAATGAACAAGAAACTGCTATCTAGTTGGTATGGAATTTGGCCTTTGTCCTATCCTACTCATCAAAATTTAATTTTTTAAGAGATTAATAGAGATAAATTTTTAGAAAATTTTTAATTTTTATATAGATAATTTGCCTTTAATTAAATTAATAAAAAATTAATTTTGAGATATGTATAAATTAATTCAACAACTTGGCCCAAAAAAAAAAAAAAGAAGAAGAGAGACGAGTCATGATAGAGCAATTAGAATGCCATTTTCAAGTTAAATAAGTAAATATATCTTCTTCTTTTTCTTCTTCTTTTTTTTTTTTTAACATGGGGAATTATGAAGGATTAGAAAATTTTTTAAGTAGTTGGTAGAAGTAAAAAAAATCCTAACAAATTAAATTTAAATATTAAGATTTAGAGATGAATAATTAAATTTAAAAACTTGATTCGTAAATATATCCACCTTTGAATTTGAATTATATGCATAAATCAATGTGAGAAAATAAAAGGTTTTTAGAGTAGTATGATATATTATATCAATTGTTTAAAAATAAATAAATAAAAATAAAATTTTAAATATAGTGGTTAACATGAAAACGACTAGGGAACCCAAATTGTCACACATTAATACCTTCGACATGTAGGCCAACAATCCAAACCCAAGACATAACTTTTTTGATACAAACATCAAAGGCCAAGAAATGCTTACAAAACGTCTATTTAGAAATACTTGAAATGTCATCTTTGAATGTTCACTATTAGTCCATTGGCAGGATATGGCACTTTGTTCCCCCTGTTTTTTTGTGAAGACTACCCTTTAAAACTAAAACACTTGGAATAAACTCACAACCATTCAAAACCAACACAAAAGTCAATGAGTTTGTTAGAATTTACTTATATATTATTTATACAAAATTTTAATTATTTATCTTTTTATTATAGATAACTAAGATTTAGTCATCTTTTATTCTAAATTTTAAATATAATTATTTTTTTCATTTTAAATGTCATGACAAATTTTAATAATTTATCGTGAAAAAATAAATAGTTAAAATTATATAAAAATTATGAATAAATAAATATTAATTTAGAGATAATTATTTGGGAGAAAAAAATTTAAAGCATAGGAGTAATCAATTAAACTATAATTGATTTTGTAATTCAACTCCCAGATCTCTCTCTTCTCTAGAATTCTCTAGACTTGCCTTACAACTTCTCCAGTTCTCATCCACTTTTTGAGTGCTCGGAAGCCTCTAGGCTTTTAGGGCTTTTGATGCTTGAGCAGCTGGAGGGCTTCTCAAGCATGGTGGAGCCGGTCCACCGCTCCTATGTCCGATGATCACTTTAAATGATCTGTCGGTTCTTTTGTGGTCCTATTGGTGGCCTTTGCTCTTTTTTCCTTCTATTTCTTGTTTTTTTGTTTTGGTTTTCTCATATTTGGTAGTCAACAATCCAATCATGAAGAATTTAGGAGATGGCTGTCACTTGCTTTACTGTTGCAACCACTGCATCCTGGAGAACAAACGTAATCTATGCGAAAGTAGATAGAAGAGTGTTCAGATCTCTAGAACGATCAACCAAAAGAATCTGTCAATCTATCTCCTTAGCAGTGTGATGTGCTCACTGCCCTCCTTTATCTATTTGTTAAACTTAACCTACTTTTCAATTTTTTTATCTCCAGTTGTGCTTAATCTGTTTGTAATTTCATCAATGTCATCTGAATTTCTTTGTAGATGTCGTATGACTTTAATGAAATGATATGTTTTTCACTGAGTTAAAAAAAAAAAAAATGTTTTTCACTGAGTTAAAAAAAAAAAAAAAACTATAATTGATTTTCTCATTGTTTTTTTATTTTTTATTTTTTATTTTTTATGTTAGTTATACAATATAAGACAATCTTATCTTATCTTTTATCTTATTTTATCCACATATCATATTTTTCAAACACATAATCTCTTATTTTTAATAAAAATATATTATCATTGAACTATTCAAATCTCATTTACTTGATTTTATCAATGTTATGCAAGCAAAACCATATAAAGGTTTAAGAAACCAATAACCTTAAATGGGAAAAGGATGATAATATGAGAGAAATGAACCACTCGTTTAATTTGAAGATGAGGAAGATAAGACAAGTCGAAATTAAAAGATGCTGGTGAAGAAACAACATCAACACCGACACTCAACATCACTGTAATTAAGATCGTACAAAACAACAACATGAAATTGTTAAGCGTTGGAAGAAAGGTGGGTGAAGAATCGACGTTGATACTGACAATACATGGAACGAATTCACTGCATCATTTAATCACACATATCTTTCACCTTAAAGACTCCCATATTTCACCAAGGACTAGGAAACTGATCTAATTTCTCGCACTATGTGCCGGTTGCATTTTGTGAAACTTGAACATCAGAACATAGGTGATGGATCCCCCTTGAAATTATATATTCTTAAAAGACACAGTTTTATGTGCCTAGGTCATTAATTTCATTGTCAGTAATATAAATAATTTAAGAATAATTTTTTATTAAAAATAAAAAATTTTAAATTTTATTTACATAATATATGAATAAAATAAATTAAATAATAAAAAAATTATCTTTATATATATTGTAACTAAGATAGAAAAAAATCATCTGTACTATTTTGATAAAATCTTATGTTAAATCCTTAAATTTATCTTATATTTTCAATTAAGTTTCTAAACTTTTATTAAAATAAATAAACTCTTAAATTTTATGATTTATGTAATTTAATTCTTTTCTTTATGAAAGGCTTAATTTTGGTTTGTATTTTACGTACATGAACAAGATCAATACCCATTATGTAAATAATAATATATTGATATTTTATTCATATAAATAAAATACAAATGAATATTAAATTTAACTTTAAAAAAATGTTAAATTATCTAAATTATAAAACTTATATATATATATATATATATATATATTGAACATGTTTGAAATGGGAGGTAGGGGATTGAACCCAATCTCAAGGGCTTGGTGCATGCACCTATTAAGGTGACTAATGCCATCAGGTGGAAAAAATAGGTGCAGTTTATAAACTTATTTACTTTAATAAAAATAAAAAAATTTAATCAAAAAGTTAAAATATATTAAAGGGCTTAATGATGGAATTTTACCTTCCATTAATGCTTTCCCTGCGCGGCATGTACATTTTTTATTAAAAAATAATTTTGACATTATTTTTTTTTTTATCAGGTTACCAAAGAATTGAAAAATCCAACCTAAGACAAAGGGAAGAGGATGACCTCAAACTGGAGGTTTATGAGTACTTTTATGCGGGGGAGCTATTAATTGCTCTATTCAGAAGTTCTCGACATTATTTATAAATATATACAAAGAGAAAAAAATGAGTTTCATAAAATTCAAATATATTATTTATAAAAAAATAAATATGTTTAGTTCAAAATTCAATGTCACTAAACAAAAACGAGCTTTCATGCCATGTACATTTTAAACGGTGAAAGGTAGAAAAACAAGTCGGTCGTACAGAGTTGACATGAGGCTGGGTGGCTTGGCATCACAATCAGGCCGACGTGGTAGCATCATACTCATAGTAGAAAAACAGATGATGATGCCAAGCCAGATGTTTAGACATGTGGACTGGACCCTTTGGTTATTTGATGTCTTTAGTGATGATTGTACGGTGTTATTTGATAATTTTTTTATATTAATATAATTTTTATATATTATTAAATAAATAAATATATTTAATATTATAAATATCACATAAATAAAAAAAATTAATTATTTATCAATTACTTAAATAATT